TATATTTATATGTGTATATGTATATGTATATATATGTATATTTATATGTGTATATATATAGGTATATGTAGATATATATGTATATATATGTATATATACGTATATGTATATATGTATATATATATATATATATATATATATATATATATATATATATATATATATATATATATATATAAAGGACTGAGTAAGAACAGATTTGTAAAAGCATATTTTTATTTTTATTTTTATTTTTATTTGTTTATTAGATGAGATCAGTGTAACTCTCCTCTGCCGTCAATCGTCGGCTCTCTCGGCAATGGCGATGTCGGCGTCGGCGACGCGAAGACTTCCCCGCCTCCTGAAAACCCAAGATCCCTTCCGGGGCCCTCCGAGGGCGAGGGCGAGGGCGTTCAATTTTCTTGTCAGCGAGCACACTGCCAAATGGCTGCAGGTACTCGATTCAATCAGATCCTGGAAATTTCCCCATTCTTTCGCAGAACTCGATGTTGATGTCCGGTTGGGAGGTCTGTTCGAAGACGGCGCGATAAGGTTTCGATGCTTTTACACGAATTTCTTTTAGAAAAGGCTTTTCTTTTGTCATTTGAGTTTCTTCTTTGTCGATTGATGGAGTTTTTACGGTCTGCTGTGAATCATGAACGAGAAAACGGTATAGATTGGGGAACGGTGAGGATCTTTTACTTGAAAATTCTATTTCTCATGGAGGAAAAATGCTTTTTTGAGCAAATTTGTATGGTGCTTTACTGTGATATGAGCTGATCTTTGTGAAATGGAATATGTTGGTGGACGGAGACCAATTCATGGTTTTGGACCAAGTACGAGAACAAGGAAACAAAATAACTCATTTAGACAGTCAACTAGAATAGGAACCCAGTTCTTCTCTTCATAGATGATGATGCTCTATATCAACTTTTAAATTCATGTAAATGATTCTAACCAACTGAGCACATGAGATCTTTCCTACAAAGCTGATTCTTGAAGGCCATTTCATTTCATGAATGACCTAACCGAGACTTGGATCCACCTGACACTATGTTGAATGGTAGTTTTTCATCATGCCAACATTCTTGTGCTTGTTCTCCATTTAAAGCCTTTTCTTCATATCCGAAGCAGGTCATTGACCATCATCTTGGCACCTGGGCCTTTAAATAATTTCAGTCAAAGAAAGATAGAATGACCATGCCTCTCCATTATTCGCTGTTAAGTTAGGAATTCATTGAAACCCATTAATTTTTTATGTTACCTTTACATAATAGAGGAAACTTTCTGGCCTGTCAAATCTTGTTTGACTAACATTGTTGTCAAGTTCTCTAAGCAATTTAGATTTCTTGGTACATGTCTTAAACTGAGCTTGATAACCTTAGAGGAAGTCTAATGCAGCTCGCTTGTATCCAGACAAAAGATGCTACCTTTTGCTCCTAATCCAAGCTTCTAAGACTTGCATGAAACAGACCCTTACTCCATTTCTGTTTCAAATCTCTCCGTCTGCTGTCCTCACTTATCAGCCTAATTTCTGAGTTTGGCAGAAGCTAAAAAATATTTGACTTGGTAAGTGAAGTTCTAAAATGCCTGTTTGATGCGGCTGTATCTGTATCATGTACATGTTTGTGATCACAGCCACCGTATAATGCTGTGGCATTATATTTGTGAAAATTACAATACATATGCACTCCATAAAGCATGATTTGATAAACTCCAAATGCTCTAGAACCATAACCATGAATCGTATCAAGTATCATAATTATTGTTTTTATTACTAGTGTCACATATTCTGCAAAATAAATATCAAAACCATGCCTGAATAGTTGCAGCATCAATAGATAGACTGTAATTTTTTTTATCTGGCTGTGCCACTGTTAGAGTGTTGTTATTTATAATGCCAAACCCACAATGTCAGACATGAACTTTCAGTTCATGGAAAATTAGTGTTTTAGAGGACGTCAAGGTATCTTCCAGAGACGAATACATCATGTCCTATGTTCTAGAAATCCTGACATGAAATATAGCTACCATTCTGAATCTCATGCCAAATGTTGTTTGATGTTCTCTCCCCCATTTCTACTTTTGTTTTTCTTTTTTTCCTTTTTTTTTCTTGTGATGCTGTTATCACAAAATGGCAATAAACAATCAACTAATTTTTGGCCATCCTAGTACGACAATTAGTGTTTTCTCGCATCCACAGCTTAGATCCAAATTTGAGCTTGGACTCCCTTTACTTCTGCAGCTCTGATTGTTGCTTGTGCAATTGATCAACGAAGTGCCTCCAGTCAAATTTGAAGGTCGGATTGTTGCTTGTGAAGGAGATAGTTGCCCAACCTAATTCCAACTGTGGAGGTAATTCACCTCATGGTTTGCTCATTTCATGTTGCTAACTAAATCTCTGCTTCAAATGCAGATAGTAATCCTGCCCTTGGCCATCCAATAGAGTTTATTTGCCTTGACCTGGAAGCACCAGCGGTCTGCAAACACTGTGGCTTTCGTTATGTTCAAGATCATCATCACTAAGATGACAGAATGCAGCTGAATCTTAACTGATGATTTGCTTGATGCATCATAAGAAAATTTATGCGTGTTCTCAGCTTTTCAAAGCGTAACTAGCTTATTTGGACTTTGTATTGTTGAAGTATTTTGTTGTCACTGGAGGCATAATAATTATGAATATATTCCACCATAATAGATTCCTGTCAAGGGAATTTTCTTTCTGATATCTGGCAACGGAAGAGTTGATGTACTCAGTTTTATCTTTTTTTGTTTTTTTTGTAAAGGATAAGTGACGAAGACAATATTCAAACTAGGATCTTGCGATAAATCGTTGAAGTTTTTACCAGCTAAATTATCTTCTCAAATTATTATTTTTTTCTGACTTGGATAGTCATCATTCAAATTGTAATATAATGGTCAATGATCGTAATATAATGATCTGGAGGGATCAATGATGAGGTCTGTCAAGAAGTTATATATGTTTTTGACCTGTGATGTCACAAGGAAATTGTATGCCCTGGTATTAAGTTGCTGTAATATGTTTGAAATCCCCATTATTTTACCTGCTATTATTGAGAAATCCTGAAGAACAACAGTAGCTTAATTCTCTCGATCATAGTTAGACCGAACCGAGTGGCGGTGGTCTGATTCACTTGGATGTTTTGATAGTAATTTAGTGTAATTACTATCAATATTTGTGTTTATAATATTGATTTGTATTATTATTTTTATATAATTTGTATTTTTAATTATTTATAATATTTTTTAATTTTTTATTATATATAATTTTAAATTATTTAATATATATATATATATTAAAGTTTTAAAATTAAACATATGGTCCAACTAAAAACCCAAGGCTTGATTGGATCACTTCCCGATACAACTCTGATAACTATGCTCTTATTGGTCTTACAATCCTTAAAAAAGTTCTAAAACTAGCATTCAACAAGGAACTGATCTCGTAACAAAAACTAAATTCCTAGGAAGAAAAAGTAAATAACACCAATGGTAGCAAGCCATGGAAAAAAGGAATTGAATTATAATAATAGTACATTATTTCTTTCAAGGAGAAACATTTCAATAAGACATATATGTATGCAACTAACCCACTGCTTTGCATTGGTAGCAGACTCAAATACAGCAGCAGCTGCTTCAGGATTTGATGAGGACACCGAATAACAAGCAGTAGTAGAAAATTAAACCGAAAGGACGAGATGACAGCAGCGACTGCTTCAGGGTTTGCGGACACTAGATAATGTTACAATGGTTAATCCACATGGTAAGAAAGAAAAAGGGAGGAGAAAGGTTGAAATATTCAAGGTGAACCTTATGAGGGAACTGTTTCTTCGAGGTTGGTCTTTGATTTGCTCTGCTGCCTCTTCAGACCCTCCTGAATTCGATCTTTGATGGCAATTTCCTGTAAAGCAAACATTTGAAGAGGTGTTGATGATATTTAGAGAGTGGGCAAACTTACATGATCAGAACTGAAAGCACCAATGCAACAGTAATTCTGAACTTTGATGACTACACCGGCCCTCCGTATTTAATTTTAACCTTTCCATGTTCTATCAATGATAAGTATGCCACTACCACAAACTTACCATGATGTGGCAGCCCTCCTCAAATTTCTCAAGGAAGCCTGCGATCCAGCGATCTGCATTTTCCACCCATTCGTTGTGATTCACTCCAGCCGACTTTGCTACTGTGTGCAACTGCACGAGGAGTAAGAAACTATTCACTCAACACCGTAAAGAACTCAGTAATCATCTAGTTAATATCCAATTAAAAAGAAAAAAAGAAGGGAAAAACAAGAAAAAGAAAACTTTTGTGAATCTGACAGAAAAAAATTGATCAAATAATTCTTGGGTGGTGCTCATAGAAAGTTGAACACACTATGTTGGCATGTGGCTTTACGATCAATAAATCATTGATAAGACTTTGAAGAAAACCCAGAATTCAAGATTGACCCATCAGGGGAAGTTCAAGGAATAACCTGCCTAATACCATGTCCGGATCAAAATTTCATTCAAATATTCGACACTATAATGCAGGGAAACAGAACAGTTGACTACTAGCCAGTTTTAAGGGGTCCAATGTCAAGATCAGTGAATCATTTTCATGTTTGATCTGCTCAGAGAAATGCCCAGATCTCAAAAGGCAAAGACCCTTATCCACATAAAAGCAACTTTTGACTTTAATGCCAAGAAATTGTAAGCCAAACCCGAAAGGTTAATGATCAGTGGTATATGAACAGTATGATAGAATAGCATTTGATAATTGCAATCAGTTTCTCGATCGTGTCTACAAAGACCGGACATATTTCAAGTCTCCTTGGCATGAAAAGGGGCAAGATTTCACAATATACTGAAATTCAATTGTGAAGTTGCTATTGGACATTGTAACAAGAGACCATAACAAAAAGTGCTGCGCAGAAAACATTTTTGGTCACCTTTTCTTGATGCTCCTTCACTTTTTCCCGCAATTTAGTTATTCCCATGTTCACTCTCAGTTGCTTCTCCTGAAGAAATCAGGTATGAGATCCTTCATGCCTCCATGACATTGTTTAAGACAAATATCTTAAAAAGAATAAGATACTTGCTACCATCAACATGCTAAATTTTAAGCTCCTGTTTATATTAGTGACATGTAAACCCAAAGCCTTACCTTCACATAGCTCACTCCAAGGTCCTTTCTTGTATATCCACGGGCTAAATTACGCTTCACATACTCATTGTAGTCTTTCAGAATCCTCATTATAATATCTGAAGTAGAAATGCCATCTGTACGAATTGTTTCCTTAAATTTTCCAATAGCTTTGACCTACACTTGAACATGTCTTGTCAATTGGTGACAGGATTGCAATACCGAACCAATTGAAAAATTAATTCTACTCTCGATGAAGGAAAGGAAACTAACAAATTCATAGACATCATTGCCAGCTCCACTTGCATCTGCATATCTGGAAATAAAGATGTAAAGAAATGGCTTGAGTAACTGAGGAAGTATCACAGAAGCAAATTCAAGTGTACCACAATGCATGACCTAGGGAGACCGGTACATAACAGTGCATGTAAATTAACTCACAACTTTTCTAAATTTTGTCATTCTATGTTGGTCAGCTAAACCAAAGCAAATCAATAGTTCAATGCCTTTGTTATTAGTTAATGTGGTGGCTTCTCAACTTGGTTGCAATTGATTGTTACGAGATAATGACCAGAATAGTGGCATGTTTTTCTGACATGACATCATCCAAGTATCTGGTTCATATATCTTACTTTGTGAATCACCCATGAACTCTTAACCATCCAAAAGTTTAATGAATAAAAAGTAGATGGATGATATATGTAAATTGGCAAAAGCCAGATATGTGCTAATGCCCAGTTAATTGGAAACTGTTTTTTCTTACTTGACAATGATAAATTTATCTTACCTACGAAACACAAAAATGAATATATAAGAGCTCAAAGCTGAACAAGCTCTAAAGAATGGAAAAAAATAGAGGGGGGGTTCATTTTAACGTATGTAGCTTAATCAAACTTACGGAAGTGAGTCATGAGCCACAAAGTCTATGTTGTGCTTGTCAATGAACTCTTGGTTGAGGACCCATGGAGCATCTGGTATGACTTCATCAACCCACCTATAATATGAAGTGAAACAACTTAGCTGTAAGAACTAATAGGAAAGTAGCAGCTTCTCCGAATTAACAAAAAATAGGATATAAGTTTTAATATATTCCGATATTAAATTTCATGGAGGTTTAGTAAGATAGACATACAAGTTGGTCAGGAAGTTCCATTCTATGCAAACAAAGTAGCAATTTAAAATATTATATTTGACATCATAATCGTGTCTATCAAAATGTCAATTATCTTTTGTGATCTGTAGAAGTTATTCTTGTGTTCTGTTGCATGTTACTTCCAATAATCCTACCAAACAATATCCAGCTTCAGCAATTTATGCTGCTCAAATCCTTTCTTGTCACATTTTATGGACATATTTTCCAAATGAGCAAAACAGTAAGTGTTCTAGATGAATTTACCTCTTTCTGTTCAAAACTAATTCTGTGAAGTAACAAATTTCATTATCTCTACATTGTTAAATTCTCCAGAAAAAAAAAGAAACATGAAAACTAATACACTGAGCTCTATGTCAATCTTAAGCCTTAATTAGATCGCATCAGCTGTCACAAAGCAAGTTTGTTCACTAGACAGAAAAAAAAAAAAAAAAAAAAGTTAACCTCTGCAATATAATGTAAACAGGTTAACCAAGCAAAACACACTACGATAGTATAAAAGTGTAAAATATAAAGCTTCAACATGTTACTATAAAATAAATAAAATATATTAAACTACATACTTGCAGTGGCGTAGAGATTCATAACGCTCAGCTTCAGTCATCACAGTTTTTCCCTTATATTTGTGAGTAATTTCGTCACTGCAGCACCCAACTAATAAGTAGGTGTTTGGAAATCTGAGGAAAAAGCACATTGTGTTACTTAGTATACAAACATCCATCAAACTACATAAGAAAGATGAAGGAAATCATAACTGAAAGAAAAAAGAACAGAACAAGAAGCCAGAGGAGAGCAGATGACAATTATGAAAACCATCATCTCAAAATTTTCAAAATCAAAGAACAAAAGATCTTTGATAAGAGGATGCCAATAAGAAAGTATTTTGAAGTATCCATTACATATTTACTGATGTAATCCATTAAATGAAATGTGGAAGTGTCAGCCACAAAAAACAACCTACAACAATGATCCACATGTGGGTTCATGTTGACATTTGCTAATGTAGGCAAAGGTATTAGGGTGGATCTGTTTTTTGATACATCCGAAGGGGGCCATTTAGGGTGCTATAATTTTTGTAAGTACCAAATTCTCATCAAATTTTGGCATACCGAATTACACATGATAAAGACATGTCTGAGGCTTCCATTGTTAATAAAATACCACTAGAACAACACATTATGTCCACGGTAGTGAAACCCTCGACCACAAAATTAACATGCCGTGAGGTCTCAACTACTTGAAACGCAAACCTCCTTGATCAAATGTAATCCATCATTTGTTCTTTAACAAGAAAAAGAAGATTTTACCAAAAGACATAAACAAATCTAAAGTAATGCCCTTCTTCCAATTCATGGAGTTCACGAGCACATGTAATCCCCTGATCACGAATTCAGGATAACAAAAAAGGGAACTTGATGAGATTCTAGATTGCAACATTGTGATGAATGACCTCCGACCAAACGAAACATGCAATTCACAGATCAAATTCAACTAGCAGCAAGAACTAAAGAAGAAACAGAACCAAACGATAACATATGAAGAACCCAATTGGATCTCACAGCTTCTTCGCCTGCTCGAGCGCTCGAGCGTGGCCGAAGTGAAACAAGTCGTAGATCCCATCGGCGTAGACGCGGACGGGGCGTTCCTGCAGGAAGAGGCACTCCTTTCCGGACGCCGGATGAGCGGAGCAGGACAGGCTCTCGTACCACGTCGTCGGCGTGGCGGGGGGCTCCGGGTCCGACTCCGCCACCGGCGGCGCGACGACGTCCCCTCTGGGCAACCGAGCCATGGGATGACTCGCCGGTGGCGCCTCGGTTCACGTGCGGCCTGCTGTCGGACGGTGCGGCGACTTTGGAGGGAAGCGAAGAGGGGGAGGGACGAAAGAGGACCAAATAAAAAAGCCCTCTTTTTTTGCGTTTTAATGATGCGTAGAGGGAGAGCTAAAAAAGGTCGGTTTAAAACGTGAGCGAGCGAGCGAGCGAGAGAGAGAGAGAGAGAGAGAGAGAGAGACCAATTATTTTATTAATTAAAAAAAAACACAAAACTTAAACTAATTTTGAAGAATTATAAGGTTAAATTTATAGATTTAATACATAACTATTTAGTCAATATCATAACTATTTGGGATTGATTATATGATCATCGATACCTTAAAAATTATTAATACATACCCTACATAATATTTCTCCTATTATTATTATTATTATTATATTTCTTTCTCGTCTAATTTTCTCGTCCTCTAATATAATCGGATCTGTCTTCAATCTAATAATTCATGGTTTTGCTAATCAAATCGGCTGCTTCGTTCTAATTCTAAATTTATCAGAATTATGCAGTGCATCAAAAAATAGTTGCAAAACATGAGTAATAAGAGTGCAGGATAATTTGCTCTCTCCACTTCCAAGTGGCTTTGCAATCCTTCTTGCAGAAATGGAAAATGCTATATTAAATTTCTGACCGTTCTGAAGCTTACTGGATTTATTAGATTTGCCTAATATGTGACACTACTTTCTATTGTTCCTTCAAAACCTGGAAATTTGAATCCTCAATTAGAAATTTTACATGAGCAACATTTTGCTTTGGAACTCGAAAGAAAAGTACTGTATGAACATTAGGTTTTAGAAAACAAGATTTACTGGGACAGTAGTCTTGAGCAAGTGCTGTTCTTGGCCTTGCTATGATCTCTCTTTATATGCTGTCACAAATGTATATTTGGATCCACATCTGGATGCAGAAACATCAACTTCCGAGTCTGAAACATTTCAGAGATTCAAAGAATTTGACATGTAGTTCATGCATACAATACATACAACATGATCCAAGCAATATGGAAATTTTACAATCAAACAGTGTTCCTGTAATTTCCATAATTTGTACAATACGTTCCCCTTGATTCATTATGCAATCATGCAGGAAGAAAAGAACCATACAGTTCCTATGCCAAAAAGAAATGTCAACAAGCCAAAACCAAGGTTAGTATAAACATTGTAGTTTGCTGCGGTCTTTGCCAATGGGTTAGACAGACATACACAAAAAAAATTATGACACATGGATGTAAGTTCAAGCTTTCCTAAACAAAGAATTTAGCAGGATGGTTTTGCTCTTGTAGTGAAGAACACATTTTCTGCAGTCAACTTCCCAGGATGCGTCTGATGTCTGCTCGTTGGTCCGGTGTCAACCTCGATGGGAATTTCACATTAAACTTGACAATTAAGTTGCCCTTCTTGCCTGGCTCCTTGGCTAGTGGCATCCCTTCCTTAGCAACGACAAGTTCATAGCCAGGGATCACAACTTCGTTCACATTGATTGACAAATCACGTCCATCAAGGGTCTTAAGATTTATTGTAGTCCCAGCAAGTGCATCGACAAGTGAGATGTTTTGGTGGACGATGAGATCATTGCCTTCCCTCTTGTACACATCATGTGGCTTTTCGTCAATGATGAAGACTAGGTCGGCTGGGAGTTGGTTCACTTGCTCATTACCTTTGCCCGGAAAAGTTATCTTGGTACCTTTTTTCCATCCAGGCTTGATATCAATTGTTAAGATCTCTGTTTCGGGTACCAATTGTCTAGGATGCACATAACAAAGAAAAGTGATGAAAAGTTAGCCATTTTTTTCTATTTCAATAAACTCTAAGATTGTTGCATCAATAAACTGCTTTTATTAAATTTGGTGCTCTGACATCCAAAATGATGTTTTGAGATAACATTAGAATCTGTCACAATGACAATAACTATGAAGAATCGGTACTACGTGCAGGTGTAGCTTATATTCGAGTTTATAAGCTACAATCTACTATACAAAATACGTAGTAAACATATCAGATGGCAAAATAAAATGAACTAGAATACAACAACGGAGGTCAAACAAGGGTTTGATATTCCCGAGTGAAAGGCAACTAAACATGAACTGATATACACCGAGAAAACACACATAATAAATTATCCATCGGCATCCAGGATTCTAAATCTCAAACAGATCTACACCGTACATCAAAAAAATCAACAAGTCCACTCAAAATGACCAATTCAATAACTGATCCTAAATATCCACAACTACAAATAAAAAATTCAGGGTAATTGAGATGTCCACAACAGTATTACAAATTACATGAAACCACAACTAGATATCTTGAACACGACAAGAATATTTAAATATCTATAATACAGACATAAAAGGTTGCATGAGCAAAATGTTTTATTGGATTAAAAAATGTGTTTAAAATGACATGCTTCATTTTAACTGCAGGGGGCTTTACATAAGATGCCGCTGGACTTGTATGTTCTTTATGGATCTACAACCACCACTTTTGATATCAAATAAACAGATTCAAATGAAAAAAAACAATTATATGGTATAAGGATTGTTACACAAGATCAGCTTTGAAAGGTCAAGGACATGAAAACTCAAACTATTTGTCAAAGATACCTGCTTAATAAAAAAAAAAGGTTCATTTTACTCTTAGCATATGTGGATAATTCACAGATGTGAACAAATGGGAGTTCTACAAAGTAAATCTAGATAATCCAGTTCAAAAAGCATAATGGAAAATCAGAAGTTTCATTGACAGAGCAAAGCAAAAAACAAGGACAAGTTGGAAGCCAATGGTTAGTAGCCTGTACAATTCTCAAATAAGGAAAAAAAAAAGGAAGAAAAATGTTATTGATTCAATAAACATAAGAACTTCAATTTAAATCATGAAGTATTCAATTCAATCATAAATCTCCGAAGCAATATAATCTCTACATGCATTGAAGAAACCAAAACTTAAAGCGGCTATGTTTTGCTTAAGAAATCAGTATTTTGTCAGGCCAGTGGGACAAAAAATCATCCAACTGAATGATATGGGACAAAGTGTTTACCCATTAGATTGCAAGACACTCCTAGAGATCTTCAACTTCCTTTTTGATCCACTGTAGAGCTCTTCAAGTCTGCATGCTAGGAAGTTCTCCACAGCTGGCGCTTTCCGTGGTTGGGTGCCACTAGGACCAGCTCCCTCAGCATATGACCTAGAGGTGCTCTCTGTCGTACCAAACCCACCAAAAGTCCCACTTCCATTTGTTTGATATCTTGTGGACTTTGTGCGATTCATGGACTCAAAACCGAAAGGGCTGCTGTTCCCGAAAATTTCAGCAAAGATGTCCTTAGCATCTCGAGGATTAAATCGAAAGTTACTAGGTCCACTTGAGGCACTAGATGTCGCACTTTGTGAGCCAGGAGGGGGCATGCCCTTCAAACCCTCTTCTCCAAGCTGATCATATATCGCCCGTTTTTGTGCATCGCTTAGTACCTGGAGCAACATGGTTAAAATACAAACAAGTCGAATATGACAGTTAGTCATAATATGACAAAGTTAAACACATCTGTCAATCTAATCGCTTATTAATGTATAAGATTCACTCCTTCAAGCCAACAGAAAGTAATAGACCCAGATACCTCAAGTACCCAAATATTACGTAAAGATGCACGTCACTACAAAGAATGCAGAATCAAGATTAGAAAATCATGTTCCGAAACAGGGTGGAAAGAACCAAAGAGAAGAATTAACTACAAATTGTGCTTCACTTAATTTCAGTGTGCTCAGTATGCTTCCTAATTAAATATTCAATTCTTTCCTCTAAATTCAATGAAGTCAGAACCCTTGAAGAAAAAACATCCTAATGCAACTTAAGCAATAATATATAATTGTGTCAAAAGAATCATTTATTAAGAAAAAATAATCAATCATATTATTTATAGATATTATCATGGTAAGACAGAAAACTCTTTGGTCTGCAGCTTTGAAGTTAACAGTAAACTCCGGTGTGGCTAATACTGATCTAATCATTATGTGGTTGAATTGTAGGACAACACAAAAGTAAACATAAGAAAGACTTGGAATTAATTGTGAACCCTATGACACCTTCATCATACATGATGGTATCCATACCTAATTATGAGTTCAAGAATTCGACAGACCAATCGAATTCTTCCTTACCAGAATAATCATGTATCCAATAAAGTTTTGGATTTCCCTAAGATGTATCTTAATTATGTCACAGAAAGAACAGAAGAAAATAAAAGGGAAAGAAAAGGACGAGACGCGACTCGCCTCGTAGGCCTCGGAGATCTGCTTGAACTTGGCCTCCGCCTCCTTCTTGTTACTGGGGTTCTTGTCCGGGTGCCACCGCATCGCCAGGCGCCGGTACGACTTCTTGAGATCCTCATCGGTGGCGTTCCGATTCACCTTCAATATGTTGTAGTAGTCCACTCCCATTCCGATTCAAGCATCAAACGTACTCGCAGACAGGCGTTACCAGCGACCAAAAACAAACGACGCGCCGGCTCCAATCTCTCTGTGTTCGAGTTACCGGTACCAAAACAAAACCCTGGCTCCAATCTCTCCGATTCCGGCTTGAGTCACTCCAAGATCCTTCCTTTCGGGCTCGATCCGGTCGGCTCCGTGTAAAAAGCTCCAACTTTGCAGATCTCTTCAAACGCCCCGACAGATTCAGCGAAAGATTTTTCGACAGATCCTAGACCGGAACACGAAATCTTGCGATTGACTTCGGAACACGGAAGAAGATGTAGGGGCCAAAAGAAGAGGGAGGGGGACAGCTGGCGCCGCTTGCAGCGGTCGGCGCAGCCACGAAATTGCCCGCTTTCTTTCGGAGATCGATATACTAAAAGAAATATAAAATTGAAATATTATTTTCTACGCATCCTTCTGATACCCAGTCTCAGCCCAGTCAGAATCTGTGGGCCCGGACGCCAGATCCAGTAGTAATCCTCATCACTCGAGGTACGGTAGGATTAAGGGTAAATAACGTGCGGGTAGAAACGGAATCCCTCTTGCCGGAAACTAACAGTTGTTGTAAAGATGCGTCGACTGAGGACACGATACCCACGATGACACCCACGTGCGAAGTGGGGCCTACTTGAATCAGGGTTATCTTACTTTGGTACGATTGGGTGACGTTTGAACCCAACAATTCGGTCGTGTCCGACGACATGCATTCTATATATTATGTGAAGAGTTTGCGTTGAGTAGAATCTAATCGACTTGCACTCCATCTCCCTGTGATGAAGACGCTCATCCAAAAGAAACATTACATCTCTTGATGATTATGTTATTGAAAATTACATCTCTTGATGATTTTTTCTTTGGTCACATAATTCAAATTGCAAATAAATAGTCAAAATAAATTAAGCTCATTTTGAGTTTACTTATAATCGAGTCGCAATTGAGTTATCTTTTTAAAACAAGAGATACACGATCGGATGTGATAGTACTAAGACAAATGAGTTAGATCATAAGTTAAGTTGACGATCAAATAGTTAGATAGGCAAGTGCATAAAGAAAAATAATAGTGGATTTTACGTTCGTAAGTTTGGATATTATATTTTCCTTGCATAGTTTTCTTGATGTCTATATTTATATTTATTTGAGATATTATATTTTTCTTCGTATCGAAACACTCTTTCCTAAAATATTGCTTATACTTATATTTATTTGAGATATTATGTTTTTCTTCGTATCGAAACAGTCGTTCGTCTTCCAATTGTGCCCTTCAACTTTCAAATATATATATGTAATATTAAAATTTAAAGAAGGTATACATACAAAGAAATCCTAGAGGAAAGTATAGATGTATAGAAATATAAACCGTAAAGAAGGAATAGATATATAGAAAACATAAACTGTGTTTGATGGACCATTTTAATGGTCTATAGATAGATGAGCAAAGTATAAAGACGATCATTGACGAATAAATCACTGTTGCAAAATAGTCAAATGACAATGCATCAAAGGACTAATAGCAGCCAAAGTGGCATGCAAATGGTAGAAAGATGCATCTTTTGCCTCCATGATTGGTCATGAAGCGCGAGCAACAAGTAAACGATGGTGGCCGAGCATCATTCGGATTTTGTGACGACCTATAGCGACTTATTTATGTTATAAAAGCATGATAAATAAAAATTCATTGCAGTCATAAGAATTAGCGAGACATTAAAGTTTTGATTTTGACTCATAAGTGGGGGTTGGCATTTCGATGTGACACAACCTTCATGTGATGCAATAGTCGTACAAACTTAATGTTGATATTGACATATACTTTCTAAAGATCTTTCTCCTACTTTGATCTTCCAATAATATAATTATTAATTATTACCTTAGGCAAGTAGGCAAAAGAGTGTTGAATGTTCCTTTGATATTTTGGTGTTGTAAGTGTAAAGGAACTGAGCTACTTATAAATTATCTTTGATTCTTGGATCATATTAGTATCATAATTTTTATATTTAAAAATTTTATATTAACATTTTTATAATTTTAAAAATAAAATAAATAATCTTATTTATCATAACATCATCAATTGTATTGACGAAAAACACAACGTATTGGATCTACGAGAGTAAAGGACAAAAATTAATTTTAATTTTTTTTTATTTTTTTAATGATTTTATCGATAAAAATATAATTTCAATATCTCACGTGTTAGAAATAAATGTGATGTTAAAATTATCTTTTTGTTCATCATCTTCACGTCAATCCAACACATTATATCATGTGTTGTCTTTTTCGTCAATACAACTAACGACGTTAAGAAAAATAGAATTATTTATTTTATTTTGAAAACTATAAGGATTTCGATATAAATTTTTTAAATACAATGATCATGATAGTCTATGTAGAGGGTAATATGTAATTAGCCCAAGAAAATTATACTAATTCATCTATCTTAAACTTGATGACTATACTATACTAATTTATAATGATTCCAATCCAAGGTTAGATACCTTTCATCTGATTTGAAATTATCTGATTCAATCTCTGGTGATATACATAATTATATATAGTGATTATATATAAGTAAATTGGATAAAGTATAAAGATATTTTAGACTATACACATTCATGTCGTTGGATCAAAAAGTTTGACCAACATCATTATTGGAAAATATAGTTCTATCTCTAGAGATGTAATTATCTACTTATCCAAAGGGATTGGTCTTAGATTGTATATTCTTCGTGTATGTAATCTCAAATATAGATAGAGTTGACTGAGTTTTTCTTGGATACTATACATATCAAATTTTAATAGTCATCGTTTGCCGACATCATAAAATGTCTACAATTCTTGGAATCACATCACAGTCCCTTTAGACTTTGGAATGCATGTAAGTAGTCAATTACTCGCATTGTCTGATGGTCTCTATTCGGTGTAAGAGATATAGTCAATGACATTATGCGTTTGAGTTTTGCTTCTATTTGGTGCGTGACATGAAGCGATAAGAATGCGAGCGAATTATATTCAACGCCAACATACCATGCAACTCTTCTCCTCGAGAAAGGAATGATAAGATAATTGTTCTTGTTCTCTTGCATGCTTTCCATGCTCATGTCTCTATCAAGTCTCAGTGAGCTACAAATCATAGAGGAAGATTACGACAAGCAAATAATTTTGATATTTTCGGTCCAATTTGGCTACACTCCACAATTATTTGGTTTATAAAAAAATCGATCATAGCAAAATTTCAATTCGATCTATATTTTATAGTGTTACAATCGAAATCATAAATTTATTTTTATTTTTAGTCAAATTCATAAATGGAGTCCGATCATTCGCCTCTCCTAATGATAAACAATGCAATGCAAAAAACCTATTTTGGGAAGTAAAAAAAAAAAACACATTTTAATTTAGGAAGCTTTTGCATGAGATAAAAAGAACAAACATGATTCATGTGTGATAGCTCCAAGTGAATCTCGTGGCTCATGCCATAGTTGTTGTTGTGTGATCACAATGCAATTTGTTGTCACTAGGTTTTCCATGTGTGGCCTGAAAGGGCCATCAAAAGGATGTGATCCACACTGTTTCTGGCTTCTCTCCACACCTCGACAATAATGACTCACTTGGATATCAACGTCATAGAGGCCAAGCTTCTCTCCAACCTTTCTTTTTTTTGTTTGTGGCATCCACCATGGATTATCCATCGAAGAGTTTCTATCCACGTAAATTAGATCCATTAATAATAATAGGTTTATATATAAATCATGAGTATTTAGGGCAGAAATATTAGTGACTTTTGTACTTAACCTAATAAATACGGAGAACAATTCAACGCATCGCTAAGATTATTTCTTCGGAAGATTTTTTAAAATATTAAAAAGAAAAATCTAAAGTGTAATCAATAAAGTGTATGACAATCCACATTGTTCGTTGAATCAAATGTGTTTTACTGTTTATTATATGATGACTTTTCGCAGCCTCCGATCCTTAAATTATTTATCCACCAACAACAAGATAATATATATATATATTATATTATTTATGGGAGGCATGCAGTGGACGCCATGACATCGACGTGCGCCGCGGGCGGGCCCCGCGCTGTCCCCATCATGGGTTTCTCGCCGCCCAAAATTCCCTGATTCCGCACCCTCCACGACCACCGCGGCCCGTCGGCACCCACTCCCCTACCGCCCCATCGTTCGCGGGCCCCACGCCCTCGTCCACCGGAGGAGCAGGTAGCCGAGTCGGGTTCGTGCTTCCGGATCGAACAAAACCTCACGTACAGCACGGCGTTGTCGCTCCTCGCGACGATATCGTATCGTGTCGGCTTATCCCGCTATTTTGACCGAAGACCGGTTCGCCGCGCCGAATCTAACGCGTCCGTCTCGTTATCGTGGATTTCTCGTCCGATCCCGATATTAAATCGCCTCTGCCAACACTTCGATTCCGTCCTCGGTTCTCACGTGATCATTCTCGGAATACATTAACCACATCGAGGGCATTGCCGTCATTTTGGGAGCCCGTGCCCCTTTCCGAAATTGACCGTTGCATCCCCATAGTTAAGCATACTTGATCTGATTAAATAAGTGGAAGTCGTGATGTCCGAACGCCCACCGCTGTCACCGGACTCTCTCTCTCTCTCTCTCTCTCTCTCTCTCTCTCGTTCATGAATTAGAAAAACGTGGCTGGCGATCCAAAAACACATTTTGTTTTTGTATCGAAAGGAACCACCTTTGTTTTTTTTGCATGCACTCGCGGGTCTCCATCTTTCTCTTTACCTTGTATACGATTGGACGAGCCGTGGGGGCCATCGGTGCTGACTCGACGCATGCGAGGTGGGTGAAGTGGGGGGTCGTTTCGGGTGGGGGGGCGAAAGGCGACGTGGGGCGCCTGGAACCGTCGAATGTGGCGCATTATGCCTGAGTTAGTAGCCACCGCGTCCTTTTTTTGTTTCGGGTTGTCGATGGTTCCATCAAGCAAGCGGTACAGCGCGTCGCCCACGGGATCGTCGCGTACGTGTCGACTCACCGAGTGGGCTTCTGCCCCGGCGCGGGTCCCACCACGGCTCGCACGTCGTTATCCCCCAATCGCGATGGCGGTAGACGCGCGGGGCGACCTGGAACGTCTCCGGTGTCTCCCGTAAGGGCCCGGCCGTGCCGACGCACGTGATGTCCACTAAAGCGTGGGTCCCACGGAGAAATAATTGGTCTCCTGCCATGGGGAACATCGTTAGGTGAATGTACCCACTGGCGCCAGCCATGCGATGGGGCGGGGCCCGCGAAACGAAAGGCTATGATCCGATAAACGCCTCGGTGCGTATATTGGATCTGGTCGACGCGCCGTGCCCTGCAAAGGC